TGTATATATATATATATATATATATATATATATATATATATATGAGATCAGATTTCATCACTTACAAAATTTTAAGTGTTTTTTTTTCTTGCTGTTCAGACTACAAACGAAAAGAAAGAATTAGCAAAAGATTCATATCTAAACATTTCCTCTATGCATTCATGAATGCTGTCAGATTATAGTGGTGACTTTTTATTTGCACGTTTGGTCCCTAGTGCTCTGAATTTCTGGTACACCTTGTTTTTCCCACCTAGAGTGAGATGAGGACAGAAAATAAGCTGGAAATGGAGAGAGAGAAAGAGTGATGGTGAGTGTGTGGCACAGGGGTTTAATATTTCTTTGCCAAATTAGAAGTACCACCACAGGGACATCTCTGTTTTGTTCACACTGATAATGAAGCATGCTGAGACTCCTATCTGAGATTGATGTAACCTCCCTGATGTGTACAGCACATCCCCAGACATGTTATTTCCAACTTCTACGCTGTAGAGGACAAGAACTGTTAGAGTAAAATATCACGGGCTCATGAGAGCCTCCAGCCACCTGCAGTATGAACACACGCAGAATGTTCAATGTTAGTATAGGTTGCCATAAATAATCCATATGGTATACAGTGATGATGTGTGTATCAGTTTCTTTTTTTAAAACCGCTGTTTCACTTTAGAAGTTAAAATCAGCCATTGCCACTTCAGGGTTTGTGTGATGCCTCAGAGAAATGCAAATCTCTTGCTACCGTCTGTGGAGCAGTGGATTAATCTTTTGGAAATTATATGTTTGAACACCACAAACAGCACTTTTTGGTCAGTTTCAGCTCCGTTTTAATGAAGTGATACAACGGCTAATTTCCAGGGTTCCTGAAGTACCAGGAAATGTTCCCACTGCAGCATTTGTTTGTAAACTGTATTTTCAGTCTATTGGGCTCTTTGGTTGGCTTAATGGTTTTTCCATGTTGCATTATAGCTTTTTTTTTTCCATCTACTTCGGACTTTTATGTCTTTTCTCTGCAAATGTGGAGAAGTATACCATGAAAAGGTTCATTTTCACTTTCTAAGACAGCACAGTAGCAGTAGCAGCCTAAACAGGAATTGTGCTACCGAATGTGAAAAATGTGAACTAAAAAAAGTATGAAAAAATTCGGATTTATTTCTACTCTAAATTTTCAAAGCATTATCAATGTCCATTTACAATGAATATTTCAGAAATGCATGTTGATTATTTAATTTCCTATCCCTATATATTGATTGCTTGCTTGTGACAGGGAGCTCTCAGAAAAGTCTAGAGCTGGGATTCTCCCAGTGGGAGTGATGTTGTACTACGCTGTCCTCTATTCAGATTACTCATCATAGTAGGGAAGCCATCCATCGATTCCTATCCATCTGTCTCTCTTTCTCTCTCTCTCTCTTTGTTTCCAGTCTGTTCTATATTTGCTCTGGGCCATGCGGCCTCTCTGTTTTCCCTCATGCTGTATCCCATCCCATCCCATCCCATCCATCTTTAATTAAAGAAAGAGAGAACATCACTGTGTCCTGACAGACACAATTAATAGGGAAATGGCAGCAGTTTTTCTGTGGATTCTTTGACACCATGGTTAATAACTAAAGCAATCACCTTTTTCTCTGTCTCTGTTTTACTTAGTCTTTTTACCCCATCTTACATATTTTGAACTCATCTTATTTTTCTTTTGAGATAGGTATTGTTGGTTATGGTGAATATAAGCAATTATTTATAGAAAAACAACCAGATTAAAATCATATAAAGAAATCATACTGTGCATGACTATAGCCAACTTTCTTTTCTGAAGAATTCTAAAACATGACATCAAATATAGAGTTTTTCACTCTTTCCTGCTCTTTGTGTGGTGTTAATACCGTTGGATGACTGATAAACCTCTTTAAAAGCTCTGTTTTTCTTCGTTTGGTTACAGAGGCTACGAGGACCCCATAGAGGCTGAATTGATCGATGAAAGACACCCCTACATCCATGGCATGTACCCAGCACCTCTTGCACAGCCCGAGAGGGGCAGCTTGGCCAGTCTAGACCACATGGGTGGCCGACGCTCCCCCTCGATTGACAGCATCCGCAAAGACCCGCGCTGGAGGGACCCCGACCTGCCTGAGGTCATCGCCATGCTAGGCCACCCCATCGATCCAGTCAAATCCAATGCAGCCGCCTACTTGCAGCATCTCTGTTATGAAAACGACAAGATAAAGAAAGATGTTAGGCAGCTGAAGGGGATCCCAGTGCTGGTGGGCTTGCTGGATCACCCTAAAGCAGAAGTCCATCGCAAGTCCTGCGGAGCTTTGAGAAACATCTCCTACGGCAAGGACCACGATAACAAGGTGGCCATCAAGAGCTGTGATGGGATTCCTGCTCTCATACGTCTGCTGAGGAAAACCAATGACATGGAAGTTCGGGAACTTATCACAGGTATGATATGATAACTACATTCCATACTGGAATTTAGCACTGTGATCATGAACACAAACTTTGTAAAGTGGGTTGTACGTGGGGTTTCACCCACCTAATTATGGCCACGTTCACACAGCAGCAGAATACGGTTGTCAGTCCTGTATTTGAGTCCTTAATACGGTTACGTTCACACACAGTACGGTACATTTTCGGGACTCACAACCGCATGAACTTGATAAACTTGCGGCTCAATCGGACTCTTGTCGTGTCAGAAAGTGATAAGACTTTCAGTTTTATGGACGTCGCCATCTTTGGTCAACTTTGGTCACTGTCGCTATGGTAACTAGCAAGGAATACGGGCTTGATTCCTGTTGCACATTCATACAGACAGAATCGGAGAAGCTACTGTAAGTTGGTGTGTGAACGTGACATTTCAAGACTCACACCTGTAAGTAAATGTGGTTGTCAATCCCAGAAACTGCCAGTGTGAACGTAGCCTATTAGGTTATTTTAGAATTTTTTGATACCATTTACCAGTTATTTTAAATGTAATAATATTTCACAATATTACTGTATTTTAGCATTTGGTATTTTAGCAAGAGACTTCTTGCAAAAACATTTTTAAAAAATCTGACAACAAACTTTTGAAGAGTAGTATATAAATAGTCAACTTTTGGGAATATAGGTAACAATTTTAAGAATGCTACATTGCTTGACACTAATCTAAAATTTGAGGAAGACATTTTTATGGTGGTAATAGGAGCTGGTTGAAATTCAATTCTAGATTCATCAGGCTTTCCTCTGTGTGACTGCCTGACCAATAGAAGTCATTTTTAGTCCAGTAACCTTCCATCTTTTTTATCTTGTTTGTCCTAAATCTTCTATGATTCATTCATTTGTGTTTTTCTCATTTCATCCAGTCATGCTTGTCAAGCATCCTACTAATACTAGCCATAGGCCTCTCACCATGTTTTGCACGTTTAAATACCAGATGAGTCCGGACTGATGTTGACTGAATCCAGGTCAATCTTTCAGCGGGACTGCTGAGCAGGGTCTTGACCTGCTAAATGTCACTATAAGAACACGCTGGGGTTTAGGTGTGTCCTCCTGGGACCTTAATCCCTCGGCCTGGTCTCCATGACCTGACACACATTTACTAGAACGTGGACAATGCAAAAGAGTTCCGGCTTCAGACCGGACACGTAACGCACAAAGACCAAAGACACATGTTTGCATGCATACGCAAGACATTTTATTACTGGAACAGGGGTTTTGTGTCACTGACAGACAATGAGGGATTTACAAAATCTTAAGAAAAAATAATAATCATAAGCATTTGTATATGAAATAATTCTAAACATATCCCATTTTGGGGTCAGTAAGATTTTTTCATGATTATGCTCAGCAGGGGCTGCATTTGCATGATTATATTGTGAAATATTATTACTATACAATTTAAAATAACTGTTTTCTAATTTAATATATTTTACAAATTCAGAAATTACTTATTAATATCAATGTTGAAAACAGTTCTACTGCTTAATATATGAAATGGTCACTCATTTTTGCACCATTATATATTTTTTATGTCACTTTGATCAAATTAATGCATCCTTGCTGAACTAAAGTATTGATTTCTTTTTAAAAAATCTTACCGACCCCAAACTTTTGAATAGTAATGTATATGCTTAAAAATACTGCATGCTGATCTTTCCTCTACTAGGGTTTGGTGAAACTACTGAAAGAGAAAATGTTTTTCTGGTAATGACATTGACTGATGGTTCTCCAGACCAGACGTTCAGTTTTTTCACAGATCCCAGAAAAAAGTTTCTAGCGTGTGAAATACCTGAGTGAATCCTCATACTGCTGGAGTGTGAAACAGTGATGAATAACAGCTCCGCAGCCTCAGTGATTAACTTTACAGCTAAAAATAGCTCTTTTCTACAGGATGGAGGGAATATAGTGTGTCAGTTCCAAACCGAGCCCCTGGAATGTTTTTTCTGCAATTAAAAATAATTGCAGGGTTTTAAAAATAGGTTCACCTTGTGCTTTTGAACGCCATGGTTGGTACCCACGTATCGTCAGCAGCACTTATTTGCACCCTCAACCAAGAAACTCATTGTGTGGATATTGCTAGTACTTTTTTCTTTCTGTTCATTTTTTTTTTCTAATTCAGAAGTATCTATTTTTGATTAAACTGTCTGTTTTAATTTGGTGACCCTGTGTTAAATGTTCTTCATGTGCTCTGAATATTTAGCAGTTCATATTAATATTTTTAAATTAAGGTGGTCAAGAATGATACAACTTCAAAGCATCAAAATTTCCTTTTCAGAGCTCTCCAGCTTATGTTAATTGATGGAAATGTATTATTTAATTACAACCAACCAGCTACAGCAGTATGTTTATACCAGTAGCCATGAACCTCTGCTTCGTTGTCTGCGTTCTGTATCTTTGTATCTGCCTCAACTCTCCATTTCATCCTCATTCATTTTGCTCTGATCAAGCAAGTTTCTAGTAGAAACAGATTTAAGATGTACTTCCTAATTCCGTAATCCGTACTATACTGCACAGACTCCACTTCTCTATGTTTTTACACATTCCAGTCAGACTGTCAGTCTGTGTATTATTAGTCTTGGGAATTTTTCAGTTACTTTTTCTGCTTGTTGCATCGTTTCTCCAGTAGGTGGCAACAAGTGACTGTCTGAGTCAGCAAGTCATTCTCATCTGATTCGTTCAAAACTCTTGAACGAAACAAGTGACTTTATGAGTAAGTCGTTGAATCATTCACTCAACAGATTTGTTCAAAAACACTCATTCAGGAAATACCACTATTATATGTTGTTTGGAGACACAGTTAGACTTGGTAGAACATGAACAGGTTGCATGATGCAACCTCATCCTCGAAAAATGTACACAAAAAAAGGTAAAATAAAAATATGATCCAAATTACATTTAGAAATATAGTTACTAAATGTCAGTGTTTCATTTTGGTAATGCGTTGAATCTCACGGTCTGAATGATTCCTTGTTTTTGTGTGGATTACTGTTTGTGTACTTATGCAGAGGTCTCCTCAAATCACCTGATTATATTTGAAAAAAAGAAGGACATTAGAAAAAGGCCATGAAACATTTCAAAATGGCATTTGTTCAGAAATTCCACAAGTCCAGAGTATGGTAGCATTTCTGAGATGATTACTTCATTTACCCTTCTTTCCTGTTTCTTTCTCTCTGACTCGGCTGTCCAATCAGTGTATGATGAATGGCAGGGGGCAGGATGGGACTGTAATAGCCCTAAGTGAATGGCCTGTTAGAACAGCATATCTGCTGCTCCCAGGAAATTGAATTAGCTGGGAGGCTCCAATGACAAGCAGGAAGGAGTAAACTCAATCAGGCTGCACCTCTTGCAAGGTTCAGCTTCCCTCATGTGGGTTTCATTGGTTCCTTTTGTATTAGATTTGTGGGATATCCAGGAACCTGCAAAAGATGCCAGGGGAACCGAACAGATACGACACTATAGAGCTCTCTGAAATAACATTGTAAGATTTTTACCACTGTATGGTGTGTGTTTTGTACAATTAATATGAATATATTAATATTTTGTATAGATATCTATACAACTTTAGATGAACTTTATATTAGCTCAACTGGTAATGCATCAATGTCTAAGACTAAGTGTGGTTCTATTACTATTTGGTCTTTATTTGACCAAAAATAACTTTTGTTTTTAATATATTTTACATTTAAATTTTTTGCTGTGATAGCAAAGCTACATTTTCAGCAGCCATTACTCCAGTGTTCAGTGTCACATGATAATTAAAAATATTACAAATACTATAAATGTGTTTACTGACATTTTTGAATGGTGTTGTGTGTGTCTGTGTGTATGTGTGTGTATGTGTATATATATATATATATATATATATCATATACATACACATATACATATATATGTATACAGCCTTTGGCTGCTTCAACCTGCTCCAGTTGTCTGCTTCCTATTAAAGCCAATGAAGTGAAGTTAATCAGCATGTGCTATATATAGACCTCTACATCTCCTCTGACTACAAGCCCATCTGACACAATAACACGTGCACGAGTGCATGAGCTAGCCGGTAATGAACCATGCTCCTTAATGTTCCACTTTACCAAATAGACATTCCCACATTCGGCAGCGGCCATGTGTACAGTGTCTGTTATCTGGACTTTAACCAGGGTCTAATGGCCATTCAGCACCTAAGAGGTGATGGCGATGGAACCACCTCACAGATGGAAGTACAATTATTACTGTTATTATCCGATAGTAAATAGATTTATTTTGGTGGTTAAAAGAACCTGAGCCCACATTACACAGAGCTATGACATGTGTACTTCTTGTCTCCCGTTGGAGTTTTTGTGAGCAGAAATTGATCTGGAAGTAATTACCGAGTGAGAAGAACATGGAGTGATGATGATGTGTATGAAGGGCAGAAAAATAGATTCAGAGTTGTATCAGGATCAGGATGTACATTTGTTTGAGTTAGTAGTCAACTATGTAAACTCTTGCTATTTCTGTTTTTAGCGAGTATGACCTGTGGTCCTGAGACTTAGTTTTTACTAACCCAAGAAAAGGCAGTTTATTTATTCACTGTACATTTCCAAAGGGTAGCAGTAGCTGTATGGGGCTTGCCAAGTTAATAAAACAAAGGCCAGTCTTTCTTAACTGTGTAGGCGTATAGATATCTGCTGGCTTATAGAACAAGCTTCTCAGTTTTATTGTCTAGAAAATAACAGCCTGGCCCCTTCACGTTTACTCTGGACAATTTTTCTCAAACTTTGTTTTTCCTATCCTTTTTTCCTGTCCAATCCTTCTTAGTCGAGGTCTGTAATGGAGGTTCCTGTCTGAAAACTCAGAATCAATGCTTTTGTAATGCGTGGTGTGTCAACAGATCTAACAGCGGTGCCACTTTTTGTTTGTAGCTCTTGTGTCATTTTAAGAGGTGTAACAGGTCCTGTTTCTTTTCTCTCTCTCTGTCTTACTCCACCTGTTAGGAACACTTTGGAACTTGTCCTCCTATGAGCCACTGAAGATGGTGATAATTAACCACGGGCTTCAGACGATGACTAACGAGGTCATTATCCCTCATTCGGGCTGGGAACACGAGCCGAACGAGGACTCAAAGCCACGAGATGCAGAGTGGACCACAGTCTTTAAGAACACATCAGGATGTTTAAGGTATACTGGTCTGATTGACAGCACCTTTCACATCTTTGTTAGCTGACCTAGAACAATGGCAATGAAAACTCTTATTGGTCTTTCGGTTTTTGCAAGTCTTATTGGGTTTCTGCAAAATCCTTTTACTCATTTCTTCTGTTCTAATTGCTAAAACGTTTCAGATGAATGAAAGAAGTTAATTTTATATTAAGATGGTCTGTTTCTTACAATGTTATTTTAGTATTGTTTATATACTATTATAATATTAATAAATTTTTTAATTATCTTTTAATCTTTTTTTTTTATATATATATTAGCTTTGTTATATTAGTTTTAGGTTTAGTAATTTTAGTTCTTCAACTTATTTCAGTTAGTTACCAAGGCAACCTTTCTAATTTTTTCATGTAATATTTATATTTTATTTTATTTCTGCTTCATTTCAATTAACAAAACTTTTTAGTAGCTTACGCTTTAGTTAACAATGACAGCAATGGCCTCTTGTGTCTAACTCACTGTTATACTGCCATATATTGCTTGATATGGTTCCTGCGCACTAGTGGTAGAAAAGCAAATTGTTTAGCTTTGAGAAGATCATTTTTGCCTATGGGAACAGCAGTTAAAATGAGCTTTAGTTATAGAGAGGCAACCGATATATCTACAGTATTTGGAAAACAAAAGTGGGAACAGATGATTTTGTATAGACTGAACTTATTTGTCTTCTGACAAAAATTTATGAAAAAATATTAAAACATCTCCACATTATAACTAAAGGCAAAAATCAATAGCCTCTGCCTGTTCTATATTTAACCATTTTTGGTATAATGTTCCGAGCCTCTCTGCAGACACTGATCCTCTCCTCTGGGGGTCATTCTAGCAGCTCAGCTTTTGATTAAGAAAAGCAAGGAAACATTGCTGTGTAAGAGGGGTCCAGGCTGATTCTGCTCTTTGCCTGAAAAGGAAATGTTTTTTTGTTGTTGTTGTTGTTGTTGTTGTTTTTTAATTCCATGTGATCTTTGCCTGTCTCAGCTATTATAAATGGACATTGGATCCATGTTTAACAATAAGTATGTTTTAAAACTCTAGCATATGCCTTGACCATCACTGACTTGGCAACACGACCCATTGATTGATATGAACTGAGAACAACTCATCAGATCATGAAATCTTCCTCCATTGACGTGATCATTGTTTTAAACAATGTGTTACAGTGCCATGATGGTGCCTACAGTGATCCTTCTTTTTCAGGATTCACATATGGTTGTTGTACTCTTTTGACACTGTGGCATCAAATCAGTTTATTGTTGCCTTGTTTGGCTGTGACTATCCTTGTTTGACCTACCTAGACTTCTGTGGCTATTGCGGATAAGCCTCAGCGCACAGGCCTGATTGTCTAAATCAGCTTGCTAGCGGCAGAAGCAGGTCAGTGTAGTTCAGTTTCATGACCTCAAGTGCTCTCTTTAAATCCTTAATCTTGTGATTGCATGAGTAGGTACTTCCAACACAGGGTTGTGTTCTGGTTGTGTCTTATAGGCAGAACCAAAATTTGCAAATATGATGACATTTGGTGTATACAGTATGAGGTGTGATTCAGATATCATTATATTTATATCTGTTCTTTACTACACTGTTGATTGTATTGGGATGTTTCAGAAGCAGGATTTGGATGCTACAAGAATTCACTTGAGTAACTGTATGTGGTGTTTCACCATTGAATAAATGTAGCGTTCACCCTCTTTCCTTTTTCCTTTAATTCCTCCCTCTCTTCTCTTATTTGAGCTGTGTCCTGTGTTGTGTGAGAGCTCAGCACTGAAGCTCCGGAGGGACGGGGCTGTGTTTCCACCCTCTGTTTCCTCTTTAGCAGCCAGGCCTCTAATCTCCTGCTGCTGCTGCTGCTGGTTGTGCTGCAACCTGCTGGGCCAAGTCCAGCTTCTGCTTGCTTCTCTGTATGTGACTCTACCTCCCTGCTATCATCCGTTCTTCCCAGTCTCTCCCTCTGTGCCCTTTCCTTTCTTTTTTGGAGGTAGACCTACTGGATCGCTGATATCTGCAAAAATTAATAATACAAATAAAGAAGCAAGGACATTATTGCAATAGTTTATTTATGTATCTATTATTGATTGAGTTATGCTGCCTTAACTAATATTGTTCCTTGAAAGTTGATCAAAAATATAGTAAAAGGTAGTATTGTGAAATATTAAAATAACTCGTTTCTGTTTTAATATATTTTAAAAGGTAATTTATTATTTTGATGGCAAAGCTGAATGTTCTGCAGCCATTACTCCAGTCTTCAGTGTCACATGATCCTTCAGAAATCATTCTGATATGATGATTTGGTGCTCAAGAAACATTTCTGATTATTGTCATTACTGAAAGCAGTTGTGCTGCTTAATTATTTTGTGGAAACCATGATACATTTATTGGGATTCTTTGATGAAAGCATTTAGAAACAGTAATAGAAATCTTTTGCAGTCAATCAATTAATCAGAAATGTGTATTCTCTCTCTCTCTCTCTCTCTCTCTCTCTCTCTCTCTCTTTTTCATGCATCATAAGCAAGCACAATCCAGTATTGGTCGTCCTTTTTCTCTTTATTTTAAAGATTGCCTGTGACAGGGCAATCAATATTATCAGGTTAACCAGTGCCTCAGCAGGCCTAAATCATGTATCAGGGAGATGTGGCAGTACAGCCATCATGGCATCATGTGTTTCCATGCGATGCCACCTCTCAGCAAGTCATCGCAGACATGCGGTTGTGCACAACGCCACTCCATCCTCATCCTGTCTTTTTAGCCTCAGCTCAGCCTGTATCCATGGAAACTGTATCCAGTGACATCTGTTGCCTAGCAAGCTGCTTGGAGGCAGAGTTTTGTTTCCTGTCTCTCTTCAGCAGAGGGAAAGCACCCTTTGTTTATTTCTTTGCTCATTGTGACAAATGTGCACATTTGTAATTCATGATTAAGTAGTGCATCCTTGTCCTGTTTGTATTTGAGATTTTTGAAGGTCTTAAAAGGCTTAAAGGAACATTTTAGCCAAAAATTATTCATCCTTGCCATCCAGAATGAAGATTTTGACTCATTCTGACAGCACCCATTCACTGCAGAATCTGTTCTGATGAAGAAATTAACTCATCTACTGTACATCTTGGATGGCCTGAAGGTGTGTAAATGATTTTTAGCAAATGTTTATCTTTGTATGACCTAGAGCAGAGCCAACAATGAAGGGTTTTCAGGGTCAGTCAATGAATCATACATTCCTTATGTTATTCTATACAAAAATTTATTAGGACTGGTAATTCGATTTTTTAATTAAGATCATTTATTTAAAAAATACCTGCACATTCATATAAATAATATAATATATATAAAAAAAATGTCCCACAATATTATATCTTGGATTCTCAAAACTATTAAGGAACAAGAAATTGTAGGACGTATTCAATATTGTGCTGACTGTCCTTCAGGCATTATGGAGGAAAAAGACAGGTAGCTGTAAAAACGCAATCCATCTCTCTTATATCTGGATTGCTGCCACAACAGATGCACAGCTGGAAAACGTTACATTCCATATGGGTTTTATACTGCAAATGGGTTTAAATTTCTTCTGCTGGAAAAGGACTCATTTGTTTGCAGGGTGCTAGTTTAATTTGTTTTCTCCAGTTGTCGTTTGATAGTGATTACCCTGGAGTGAGGCTTTTTTATGGATAGGATTTTAACTTGGTAGTCTAGTTATAAAAAACTACAGCTTGAACAGCTGGTAGTAAAGAAATATCAGGGTAAAGGATGTAGAACACAGGTGGCTCCTGGTGCCTTCTCAGGCTGTGGACACATCTGACGTTCTTTGAATTTTTTTTTATATAATGCTGCTAACCATTTAACTTTATAATGTACGCTGTCCTCCATTCATTTTTAAAGAGGGACATTGGTCATTTTAGCAGGTCTGAGATCAGAACAAGGCTTTAATGTGGGTTTAATTGGACTGGGTGACTGTATATTGTTTATCATACACTTTCCAACAAAAATCAGTGAATTACCATAATAAAATAATAGCATTGGTTGTAAAAAAGCAATATCTGTGTCTGTATGTTTTTGCCTTTTTGTCAAGCTTTTATCAGTCTTTGCCCTTAAATTCAGATTAATTCTAGTGAATCCATTCATATAAACAGTAAATTAGCTATTTAAAAAAAAAATGCAATTTTAAATTATTATTTTTTAAATAGTCAATTGACACTAATCACTATGTTTTCAAACAGGTTGTATAAAGATGCTGTATTCCAGTTGTTGTAGTGCTATCACCATAATCCATTGTTTAATCTGTTTAATCATTTCAAAAATCCAAACTGTTTTTGTGTATAGATTAAATTATATTGTAAAATATACTGAAAGTGTATTTTATATATTATAATTTAATATATGAAATATATTTTAACATATTTGAAAGATATTGGCAGGGCCTTAGCTTCTTTTTGCCAACAACATAGCTCCTTTTACAAGTTTACCTACTTTAATTATGATTAGTTTGTAGCTTGGCAAGTTAAAGTTTCAAAGTAGCTTCCTCAACAAAATCTTTTAATGTGTCAGCTTATGATGTATAATTAGTACAAATTACTTGTGCTTACTCATGCTTTTGCTGTTTGCCGTAGGAATGTGAGCTCAGACGGTGCAGAGGCACGCAGGCGGTTGAGAGAGTGTGAGGGGCTGGTGGATGCCTTGCTGCATGCACTGCAATCTGCAGTGGGAAAGAAGGACATGGACAGCAAAGTAAGTGTATTCAGCAGAGAGAGCACCTGGAGCCTGTATTCATCTTTGTTTAAACATTATACTGTTTTCTATGTTTAACTTTCATTCGGTAGGTCACACACACACAAATCCAGACTTCAGGGAGGGCTGTAATAAATATGAAAGGGATAAAGGGGTGTCAGCTTGTCAATATCACAAAACAAACCCAGGCAAGTGATCAGGACCATAATGTAAAGCGAAGGAGTCTTAAAGGTTCATCTTAAAGGTTTTTGTGCGATAATGACTGCCTGGCTGTACATTATCCCACATATTACCCGGCTACTTCTGATATAAGGGTACATTTTTCGAAATTGAGATTTATACAGCATCTGAAAGCTGAATAAATAAGCTTTCCAAATTGACAAAAAATATTGATTTGCATGTAAATAGTTGTATTATGAGACATAAAATCAGCACAGCTATGTACGTAATCACTTGCCTGGCACAACGGCCAACTATACAGTTTAGCGGACATTATTCAAACATATTTGACTATACGATGCTGCAATTGAACAATTATTATTATACAATTACATAATAATTATTATTATTATTGAAATAATATTTATTTAGTCTTTAGAAGACAAATGGTCACTTTTTTAAAGATAGTTTTTCCCTTCCAAAATGCCTGCATACATTTTTTTTAATTCTTTCAATTTTTCTCTCTTGCTGTCTATTAGTCTGTGGAGAATTGTGTGTGTATCATGAGGAACCTGTCTTACCACGTGCACAAGGAGGTTCCAGGGGCGGAGAAGTTCCAGGACCCCTCAGCTCTTCAGGGCCCTGGCTCTGCTGGCACTCAGAGGAAGAAGAAAGATGATGCAGGCTGCTTCGGAGGAAAGAAGGCTAAAGGTCATTATTGAATTTTTCTTCATCTCATCTATGTGCTTTATACTTCTAAAACAGTGCTGAGCATCTTTAGATCACTGAGTCTTGATCATCATCAGCCGGATGCTTCCATCACTGGCAGGTTCACGGAGGGCAGTATGATCCTAGCATTTACACAACATCATAAATAGCAGTGCAGGCAGATACTGTAATAGGAAGCTAAATGATGCTTGAATCTCTCTTTGTTTGGCCTGTGCTCTTTTATGACTCATGATTTATTACTGGAGTATCAGTGTTCATCTTTAAATGGATGTGGGTGTAGGTTCACTGTCTGTGTTGCTACATTGTCTTGAGTTGAATCAGTTCTTCGAAACACTTCACTTTTAAACTGCTGAGTGTTGTTCAGGTACATATTCTTTTACATAATGCCAAGAGAGTTGATTCATTTCCAGGTTCCAGGTAGTTTCAAGGTTTTTGTTTTTTTTATATAATTTTCTTATACTAGTTGTCCAGATTTTTTGTTCTCTCTTAAATGAACTGATGTGAGACATCTTGAATATATTGTAGCGTCGTGCAACTTCCCAAAATAAATAGGCAGGAGACGGAGATCCAGTTCAAAAGCAGCCAACGGCCTTTGTTTATTTCCTGAACGTTACAACCTAAAACACATGTATCAGGAGGCATCCTAACTTTCCCAAAAACAAGAAAACGCGAAGGGCTCTGAACTTTTTCTTCCCTGAGCTTGAGCTCAAAATGAACTCTCTTCTGCCGCACGCACCTGGCCCCTCCCCCAACTATCCCCCCATTAACAGGTAATAATAGTGAACACATTTATAGCGGGAAGCAAACAGCCTCAGCGCCACAATATTAATGATATAATTTAGTGAATTGATTCTTGAACAGACCTATAAGTGAATTCAATAAACAAACTGAAGGAGCAAAAGCAAGAATGTCGGTAAGCAGCAAAGATGACAACATTGATGTCATGCTGTGCCTCATGGACCCTTTTTAATGAGGTTTGTTTATCTGTCAGCAGCCCTGGAGATTTACTTTGAAGATGCAAGTGACATATATTTACACCAGAAAATGCCCCTAACAAGCGTTAAGAGATGTTTTCCCAGCAAGCTGTTTGGACATTTCCCCAGCAAAATTTTACCGGATTTAAAAGACATAATTTAGTTTTGCACATAACACTCCTGACACTTTCACTATAACAGGGCTCCAGACTGCGACCATTTTTTCTGCCTGTGCGACTAAATTTTGTGTGCAGTCGCACTGGCGCGACCACCGCGTTGTTCAACTCATAAGCGCTGCCATTTCTGTTGCATATGACAAACATCAAATGGCAAACGAAACTGAAAGCATAATGAAACCGCGCTACTCGTTTGAACTGCGCAGCGCTTCGAGTGTAGAGCCTGGTTTATACTCGCCGCGTCAGCACGAGCGCGAAGCTGCGCACAGCAAAAATGACTGGCATATTGAGGAAACGATGGATTGTTTTCAAGCTAAAGTAAAGTAAAAGACCGCTTCTTAAACCAAAGGTGAACATATTGATATTCTTGTGGGGGGGAAAACATGCAAGCACTGTCACCGACAGCAAGTTTAGTTTTACTTTTCTTTTTGTTTTTGTTTTCGTTTTAAAAAGCTTGTTATCTTTGCTGTTTACTTCACGTTATGCTATGGAGGCTCTCTTTTATTTGTTTTTTATTTGATTCCTCAGTGTTTGCTAAACTTTCTGTAATCTATTAGTCGGTATATAATACAGCATGTGGTGTATGCCATGCCTCATCTTATTCGTTTTTGTTAATAAACGTTTTGTAAGCTAGCTTGGCATTGTATCTTACTGATTTATTGTTGTTGTGCTTTTTAATTAAGAATAACAATGAATCTTTTGTTTTAGTCTTAAAAAGTGAAAGGTGTGTGGATGTATGTTAGCAAAACAGACAATTATCTTTTCTTGTAAAACGTGACAAGATCGCCAAGCCCGGCTTATAACACAGCAAAAGAGGAACTCCCGTTCATAAAATTCAAATCACAAATAATACTGATGAAAAAGAACGGGTTGAATGTTAACCACTTTCGTTTCTATATAACTATGATAAAAGCATGCATTGATTAATCCCATGTTGTAGCGCAAAAATAAAATTTGTGACCAAATCATGTGCTCGTGCGACCAACTGAAAAAGTTAGTCGCAAAAGAGCGACCAGTGGGAAGAATGAGAGCCCTGTATAAACACATAAAAGTTTAGGTTGCTATGTTGGATTACCACAAATTAAAGCAGAAAATGGGTTATTTCTGCACCGCTAGTAGATTTGATAGGAAATTCTCATAGGAAATGCTGTATTTATTCTTAATTATTAAGTTAGGTTAATTAGTTAATTAATGTAATTTAAATTACACTGTCATTCAAGAGTTGTGAGGTCAGTAAGATATTCTTTTTTTTTAATTAATATTTTTGTTCAGCAAGGACACATTCATTGATCAAAAGTAAATAAGTAAATCACGAATTCCAAAAAAATATATATATATTAAGCAGCAAAACTGTTTTCAACATTGATAATAATAAGAAATGTTTCTTGAGCACCAAATCAGCATATTATAATGATTTCTGAAGAATCATGTGACTGAAGACTGGAGTAATGACGGCTGAAAATTCAGCTTTGCCATCAGAAGAATGAATTGCAAGTTAAAAATATATTAAAATAGAAAACAATTATTTTCAATTTTAATACTCCACATCCACAGCATTGTTTTCCAGTAGTTTTGTTCACATAAATGCTACCTTGCTGAGCATAAGAGAGCTTTTTCACAAACATTTTTGACCCCAAAAATTTGAACGGTAGTGTACGTATCACATTATAATACTGAAGCAAAGTAAAACAAGGTCATATTAAACATCTCCCTTTCTTTGTGTTTCCACTTAGCATTAGCGATGCTCAGCACTCAAAGAGGCAATAGATATTCAAATGTCTGTGCTATTAAACCAAATGTGTTGATTTTCAGGTGGCTAGCTGAAGAGCATGCCTTTGATAGTTTAGATTACTAAGTAAATTGCTCAAATCTGCACAGTAGATGGCCTTAAAGAGAAAACTGACTGTAGAAGACTGATTATGCTAATGCCCAGTATAGCAGCCCTGCAGCCACGCTGAGAATACAGTATTACATTATGAATTGTTCTGACAGCATTGCAGAACACAATGATGCATGAAATCTGTGAATATATTAATAAGTTTCTTGTAACCATTTAGTGAATTTGCTGCAAAAAGCTGCATAAACTCTTTTGTCTCCTTTCTGGAATCTTCACTTAAGGGAACTAATGGAACTAATGGACTCCCTCCTCAACTTTGTACTTGATTAATTTTTTCTTAAACTCTCTCTCCTTTTTCTATGTACTTTTAAGTGGTTCACAAATAAGTTCTGTCTCCTTTAATACACACACTCTCTGAATCTCCTTTCTTCTTCCCTGCCTGCTTTGTTTTCTTATTGGTCTTGCTGCTGTTCCTGCATTGGCTAACTGTAGAGGAATGGTTTAATCAAGGTGAGTGTCTCTTCCTGCTTTTCCTCTGTCTGTCTGTTTCTCTCAGCATACACTCACATAATGCCTTCCTCTATATTCATCAGAATAAACGTTTCATCACTGCCCCTCTTTCACTCTTTCACCTTCCATTCTTAAATAACTGGCTAGTGTTCCTGTCCTCAAGGAAATGTCAAACCTGTGCCAATTTAGCTGGTTCAAAGCCCCTTTCAGCTGGCATAGATGTCTGTGTGTCTGTTATCTGTTAACGGGGCCTGCTTTTGCTTTCTGTCTTTTTGCCCATTGCTTTAAAGGGATAGTTCCACTGAAAAATGTCATCATTTACTCACTCTCATGTTGATCCAAACCTGTATAATTTTTTTTCTTTTATAGAACACAAAAGGAAATGTCAGAATGTTCACATTGTCCTTTTTCATATAATGAAAGAGAATTTTGTCAAACTCTAAGCAAAATTGCCAAAAAGTTCCATAGTACAATCCATACGAAGTGTGCACTAATCAAAGTCTTCAGAAATCATGCAATGGCTTTGTCTGCAAAAAAAAAAAAACCTATTCTAAATTAGATTTTTGTCTTGTTCATTAGTTAAAATATCAAGAAATCTTTAAACAAGATAAATTTACATGAGAAGCAACACTGCATAAGATATTAAGACTTGTTTTTAATTCAAACTTGTTGTCATTAATTCAAACTTGTCTTTGCTTTTAAACAAGTTAAAAAAATCTGCCAGTATCTTGCCAATATTTCATACAGTATTCCCTCTCAAGTACGCTTAACTTGTTTAAAAGATTGTTACAGAAAAAACAATTTAAAAAGACTTTAAATTCTGATGTAATTAATGTAATTAATTAATTTAGATACTTAATTTTCATTAAAAATCTTCCTCTCCACTACAGAGATGTGCCTATTTACATTTGGTGCGTCGTGATTGGGTTACAAGACACCATGACAATTGCCATTTTTTTTAGCAATTCACCAAATTTTAATATGTGCATATTTAATTTGTGCAAAGAAGATAAGAGAGCTACAGTGGGGGGGAAAAAAGATTTTTACTGAAAAATAGCTTTGGTGTTGGTCTTAAGTGATGTTATGGCTTCAGAGTACTTGAAATATAGATTGTGAGTCATGTGGACTATTTCTAAGATGCTTTTTTGTTGCTTTGGAGCATGTCAAATAAGTTTGGAACAATATGAAGGTGAGTAATGTTCATTTGTAGAGGAACTATCCTTATAACATGTTCTCTGTGTGTGGTAGTGGAGTGGTCTTCATTACTTCACTCTGTTACAGACAGCCGTCCTCCATGACAAAGGCTCTGCATTTTTAATGGGGGTTCCCACTCTTGCGAGCTGGTGTCAAGAGTTTGTCTTTGCATATCTGTGTAGTAGTTAGATTTATGTGTGGCACGTCTGTAACTGTGTGTGTGTCTGAGACTGGGTCTACTTGACATTTTCATACCAGTAAATTCCGTCTCTCATAGAGTGACACTTACAACTGCTCTTTCTGTCTCGTTCCCTTATGCTCTCTTACTCTGTCTTCCCCTTCTTCACTTAGGGAGGAAAAACGGAGAGCTTGACAAAAACTATGACACGTTGGACCTACCCAAGCGCACAGAACCCACTAAAGGTATGTCTACTTTTGACACCACCGAATTATTACATCTTTAAGCTGTCACTCTTCTGAAAAGGGGACAGGAAAAGACCCGACTCTTTGGTTTTTCTCAAAAAGAATAAAAAACCTAGTTATGAAAGGCAGGTACATTGCTTTAAGGAAGTGAATTCCAGTAAGATACAGTTTAGAAATAGTGTATGGCCAACACACTGTTAGACTACTGAGGGTTGTAGTGCACAGTTTTATGGGAAGTGAAGCTCTGTTCCCAAACCTAGTGAGCTGCCTACTGAGGCGGTATGCTAAAGTCAAGTCAAGTCACCTTTATTTATATAGCGCTTTTAACAATACAGATAGTGTCAAAGCAACTTTACAGCATTAAATAGGAAAATAGTGTGTCAATAATGCAAAATGACAATAGTAAACACTCAATTTTCAGTTAAATACTAAAGCAATACCAGCATCGCAGACAAATTTACTGTAAAGGCGATACCAAAATGCATTGTGACAAGCTCAGTGATAAAATAAAGATGGTAAACAAGATGAGAGAAATGCACTACCATTCAAGAGTGACAGTAAAGACATTTATAATGTTACAAAAGATTACGATTTCGTATAAATGCTTGTTCTTTTGAACTTTCTATTCATCAAAGAATCCTGAAAAACATGTTTAACATAAAAATATTTATCAGCACATCTGTTTTCAACATTAATAAGAAGAAGAAATGTTTCTTGTTCACCAAATCAACATGTGTATTTGAATGATTTGTGAAGGATCAAGTGACACTGAGGACTGGAGTAATGATGCTGAAAAAAAAAATTTATCACATGAAAAAATTACATTTTAAAATATGTTAAAATAAAAAATTGTTTAAATAATATTTTAATTTTTACAATTTTTTTATGATTGCGCTAGAGTTGCTGCTGATTCCAGACAAGTCACTTATAAGGTTCTGTGATTGTTAAGATGCTGTCTTAGTAGGCAGCATGCTCACTAGGTTTTTGGAGAAGAGCTACTGCTTGCACAGAGTGCATTGAGTGCACATCAGCATACAGAGATCCTCTGGGAATCCCAGGTATCAGGTAACAGTACTCTTCTGCTTAGGCCTTTTATCATTATGACAAACACAGCTGTAATCCTCAGTGGCAGAGTGCTAAATAGACAGTGTGTTTTAATCCAATTGATATCCCTGACCAAGTTCATCCAGATAGAATGAGGCAGATTTACCCTCAGAAACAGGTCAGATTGAGGCCTGTGCTGGCTTAAACCACCTCTGTGTGAGAGATGCTCAGACCTTTATCTTGTAATTGTCTGCAAATCAATCATTAGGGATGCAGGCTAAGGGAGAATTCAGACAAGACATGTTGCAATGCAGTGGAACAGAACAGGGGTCTCAAGACTAGACATGCTGTCTTAAAAACCCTGAAAAACATCAGTCCTTGTGGCAATGGTGGAAGATGTCTGTCTCTATTTACACCCACTGCACAGTCATCAGGGAGCCACTCAATACCTCTTTCCTTCTGACAGACTGATCTAAGATCATTTTACCTCAGAGCTCTACTTATTGAGACAGGAAAATATTTTATTGAGGCTAATTTTTTATGTATTACTATATATGAGCCACAAAGAGGGATGAAAAATGTACAATTTTTAGATGACCTGTTTTTTTGTTTTTTTTCCGACGAGTCTGTAAGGCTTGTGAAAACATCCCATTAAAGAAGAGAAATACTGTTTACCCCACTCATGAGAGGACCATCGTTTGTGTATTGTCAGATTTTAAAAGAGAAAAACGAAGGTAAATGAATAAATAGGAATAATGGGAAATCAAATGTAGTCATAGAGTTTTTGTTGAGAGGTCTACATGTGTTTGTTGTTGGAATGTTTTGCTTGGCAGAGGAAAAACAGTAAAGTAGCTCATGGACAAACCCACAAGGAATCTGCAGTTTGTCACATTTTAATTTGGGAGAAATCTGTGGAATGCATTGGTCTTGAGCATAAGAGGATGGATTAGTTATCAAACTAAGTAATATATTCAGTCGTATATAAGATTTGTAACTGAGAAATGGAAAATAAAACTAAAAATGTAAAACTTGAGCACTTTCAATTATACTATGGTTCAAAAGTTTTGCATCAGTAAAGTTTTTTTTTTTTTTTTGGAAGAAAGAAATTCATATTTTTTTTATTCAGTAAAAATGCATTAAAGGGGTCATATGATGCTATTTTAAAGATCATTATTTGGTGTATTTGGTGTAACAGAATATGTTGACATGCTTTAATGTTCAAAAAACACATTATTTTTCAAATACTGTACATTATTGTAGGTCCTCTATGCCCCGCCTCAAAGCCCCCTCCTTTGACAAGCGCAGTCCGCTCTGATTGGCCAGCTGACCCAGTGCATTATGATTGGCGAAATCGCATCATATGACCCCTTTAAATTTTATTAAATCAAAAGTGACAGTAAAAACCTTCTAATAAATGGAGTTCTTCTTACATTTCTGTTCATCAGAGAATCCTGATGAAACTGGATCGCAGTGTTCACAAAAACAAAAAATATAAAACCGCTATTTTACATCGTAATAATTTTTCACAATATTTCACAGTATTAATGTTATTTTACAATATTACAAATATCAAATAAATTCAGCGTTGGTAAGCATAAGAGACGTCTTTCAAAAACATTAAAACATCTTACCAACCTCAAACCTTCGAACAGTAGCGTACTTTTCTGCACACTTTAGTACATCTTGACTCTATAGGTGTTGCAATCCTGCAGAAATCTGCAGAGTTCTCTGTGGACACAGACTGTGTGTGATCCTGCTCAAGGGTTGGTGCATCCGTGTGAGAATATGCTGACTATTGCAAAACTCAACAAAGCCATGTTTGTTTTTGAGCATGTGTCTTCTGGTGTGTATTTTCACTTTTCTCACACAGCTTTGAGACCAGTTGACCTTCCAGATACAAACAACAATCACGTATTAGTTAAAAGTTTCAACAGCCTTGTTCTCTCAAAATGTTTTTGAGTAAATGGTTGCCGGTCTGGAGCCATAAGTAGCAGTTCCATAAAGTTGTAATGGCAGCTGTTCAAAGTCAACAGCATTTCTTGTCTCTCTTTAATTAGCCTCTTTCTCATTAACATGCAAAATGGGGATGATGTTGAACTGATTAATTTTTGTGGTTTATCAATGTAAGCTGATTTTTCTTTTTTAATGGCTCAAGTCATGCAAGCAGATGAGCTTTAAAAAAAGTATTGTGCCATGTTATATTTGCATGATGGTTCGGAAAAAAAAAACCTTACTCCTCATCCACTTAACATTAGTTTTGAAGCATTAATTATCACAAATGAATCCTTTTTGTTCAAATGTTAAAAGACACATTAAAAGCCTTTTTTTAACAGGAAGAGCAATGAAGTTTGTAATGTCAATTGGCTGTGACTGTCTGATGGAGACATAAGGCCTCTGAAAGCACCGGGCTTTGTTTTAGACATAAGACATAAACCTGCACTTGTTTGAACAGGAAAAATAACCTCGCCTGTCTCTTTGCTAGAGTGTAATGAATAAACAAGGATTCACATTTGTCCATGAGGATATGGTTAGGGTTAAGAAACGGCAAGCGATCAGATGAATAGTAAGTCTGGTCTGATTTCAGATGGGATTGGCACCTGGGGATTAATATGCAATAAAAAGAACAGGGTAACTGAGTTTAGTGTGCAATGGGACTGCTTCTATTGTGAGTCTCTTTCTGTGTGATATATATCCATAGATCATAAACGTGTGCTTGAGAGGCTGCTGTGACAGCTTAGAGTATTGAGGGATTTTGGTCGCTTAGCTGAACCTGAGATACACAGCCAATGTTTATTCACTGAGCATCTTTGTTGCATTTTATGCCTCAAGCATTTGGTTTCTGAGAGGTCCTGTTTGGAAACTACAAGCCATGAAAGATATGAAGGCTTCCTCGCTGCATTATTCACTTCCATGGAGAAAGAGACCAGAGAGATTTAATTAAGGATTCTGAGGGAGATGTGATTGACAATGAGCAGACTGGAGTCTGTTCCAAAACCCTGTGAGCTGCCTCATGCCTCACTGCCTAAGTAGGCAGCTGCCTTCTGAGACCATATCCTAATAGTGATGGAACCTTATAAGTGACTCATTTAAAACATTTTTCAATAAAATAATTAAAATAGTAATTTATGCACTACTGGTCAAAGGTTTGGCATAATGAAGATATTTAAATATCACCAAGGCTGCATTTATTCGATGAACAGTAAAAAGAGTAATATTTGGAAATATTATTACAATTTAAAATAATTAATATATTGTAAAATGTCATTTATTTCTGTGATGGCAAAGCTGAATTTACAGCAGTCATTACTCCAGCCTGTAATGTTACACAATCCTTCAGAAGTCATTCTAATATGCTGATTTTGGTGCTCAAAAATATAAATTTTCTTTTTTTTTCCAGTGTTGAAAACAGTTGTGTTTTTAATATTTTTGTGGAAAATGAGATACACTACGATTTAAAAGGTTAGGGTTAATTAAATGTTAATTTAAAATAAATAAATAAATAATCACAATTATTCAGCAAGGATTCATTAAATTAATCAAAAGTAACTGTAAAAACAATAATTTCAATAGAAACCCATGAATATTGGGAATTTGGCCACAATGACCAACAGAAGCAGCTTGGTTTGAAAGTAACTTCTGTGTGAGTGGTGCTTCATTCATCGCTACGCTATTGACAATAGACAGTGGACCTTAATGTGACCTCTAGAGTAATGAGTGTGCCTGTGACCCCTTAAAAGCAGCTCACAAGGTTTTGGAGCAGAGCAAATGAGTGCATGTTCTTTGGTGTTAACTGAAACGGCATTTACTGTGCTAGAGGTCACAGAATGTGGAGGTCATGTAGAGAAGCTGTTAGTACACCTATTGTGTTCCTTAGCCCTTAATTCAAACAGTGAAGCCATTGTTGTGTTTCATAAAAAATGAGTCCTGAGAGAGATGAAGACTCTGTGAATTAATTA